ATTGTCGGGGCTAATTTTATTATCTTTCATATTTAATATAATTAAAATTCTTACAAATAAATTAATTAACAGATATTACAAAAAAATTGTTTAATTATAAAAAGAATTTAAAGAAAAAAAAAAGTATGTAGGGAAAGGATAACTTCTATTCATTAAATAATTGTATAATCCCATTTTTCATTCTTTTAATAACCGATAAACCGAAAATAAGTAGGAACAATATCCGAATTATTATTGCTATATTAATATTAACATCTCGAAGGTCATTTACGTGTTAAGGAATAAAGTAATAAATAATATAGATATTTAATCATCAATATTTATTTATCAATACTCATTTCAGAATTAATTTGTCTAAAAAGGAATCTGCAGTTTCACGAAAAGGATCATGCCGAGTGACATGTGATTCATCCTTTTAATTAAACCTGATTTTTGAGAAGAAATTTTCATTTTCGAGAATGTTCATTTTAAACTTTCTACTCCCGGAGACGCCTGATAGCCTTCCGTTTTTCCTCCTGCTGGTCTTTTAACCTGTACTATCACTCAATTTTCTCTGCCTTCTTCCGTGCTGTGTTGAGACCAACACGAATTTAATAATTATTTACAAGAAGAATAAGAAAAAATTAATGTATATATCCCTATTTTTTGTCGTCACCATTATATACTGAGATAAAATCATTATATTTTTTCGATCAACTAATGAGGGATCTTATCAAACAATAAAAGGCTATTGCTTTTTCGGCCAATTAATGATAGGGACCTTGGTATTAGCAAACTATTACTTTGTAATTGGATATATTGAGTAGGGTTTCTATTTGAATAATTTTTATTCGAATAATACGACTGATGGTAATTATATATGCTAATCTAATACAATTAAAAAATTTTTCTTTATCAGTTCTATTTTTCTTTAATAGTCCTTGTGGTGATAGTAATAGGCTTCTATTCAAATAATGTTTCTTTGTTTTGTTTGTTATGAATTTGGATAAAATGAATAATAAATAAGGATCTGTATTACGAATAGAAACTCTACATTGATGACACTTTCCTCTCAGAAAGTCACTTGCTGATAAGAAAAGTATCGCTTGTTAATTGTTATACAATGTACACGTCCAATGAATAATAAAAATCGCAACGATTATGACTTTTTTAAATAAATTAATAATTGAATTGTTTATTAATTATCCAATAAATTATGAGAAAATGTTGTAATTGTTCCAAGAAAAGATCCAACTTTTCTCAAAAGAATTCAAAAATATTTATTTGATTACACTTTAATTTTAATTAAGCATTATTTATACATACAAATGGTCAATATAGAAATAGATATACCATATGCGGAATCTTCTAAAAATGCAGCTAAAAAAAAGCAAACGAGGACATAAACAAAGAGCAACCGAAAAAAACCAAGTAAATATTTTACCATTTAACTGCCTGTTTTTTTTTTTTAGAAATAACTTTTTTTTTAAATACCTAGAACGTCCTTGTCCAACTTCTAAAGGGACCGATCTTCAAACGGCCATTGTAAACTTTAAAAACTTGGTGCTCCCAATCTGTTTAGGAAAAAATAAATAAAATATAAACAATGCACAGTCAAAACTGAATTAGAAAGATTCCTTATAGATAAAGGTCTTGAACCTGCAATCCAAAGTGCTGTTAAAAGAATGACTCGAATTGTTTTTGAAGGCTCTCGGTTGGCTAACCAAACAGCACTTTATCACGTAGCACTTGGTGATCAATTTCAACACGAGTGGTGGTGCTTTAAAGTATGTGCGGCAATGTTTCCAAGATGTAACTACATCCAACCAAATATCCCTGACACCACCAAAGAATCCGTCAATAAATGACATTCGAGATGTCCCCTACACAATATTGATCTCGAAGAATGAATTGGACGAATAAAAAATGGATAGGTCAACTCCTCTCCCCTGCTGCACGGCAATATGTTACAAATTGTCAGAACCACATAATAAAAAATCTCAATAATCGACTTAAAATATGGATAAAATACAAATTATTTAAGATTCGCCAATTTCCCTTACCAAAAAAAACAAATTGACTCTGTCATAAACCATTTCATTACCAACTTGAAAAATAGAGATCCCCATTCCCTCCCTTCAAATGTTATTGATAATTTACCTTACTACATGCATTCAATATATTCACTCGAAAGCGTAGCAGAGATTATTCCAAAATCAAGTTCTTGATAATACATCTGTAAAAGTAATAGCATCCTTTCCACCATTACCAAGTATAATTAAGAATGTGACCCTAGTCTCTTTACATTTCTGCTCGAATACTCTTTCCAACAAAAGTACATATTAGTTGATACTGGTGCTTTATATTTTATGTATAAATCAATTGAAAAAGAAGGAGTAACTAATATTCAAAGATTCAGAACTGAATGAGAAGCTGGGTAGATGGAGGAAGACATTTAATATTAATAAAATTACCACTCAAAATCGAATCTTTGATTACTTCATATAAATTGATGGTCTTGCAATATCAGTTGGACTGCAGAAAAAAGTTGAATATTGATTTGAATGGATGCAAAATATCTGGGCTGGATCCTGGAAGGATAGATCTGTTTGTAGCAGCGAGTTCAAATGAAAAAGTTGCGAGTTGTTCCAACAAAGAATATTGGAATGTTTGTTTGTGCTTGCAAAAAAGTGAATTGTGATTAGAAAAAATAAATATCTTCAGGCTGTTATTCGAGGTGAGCAAGAACTTTGTTAAGTTAATTTGCAAGACATTGATAATATTACTTTCATACCTTTCACTTAATACTAACACAAAACCTAGAAATTCCAACTTCTGGTGTTGCTAATGTATATGAATATGGCTCTTATCTCAATTACATTCTATTTTACCTTGATACAATCCTCGATTTGTATGGCGAACATCACTGAGTCATTTACGATGTAAAATCTCTTATCAATAAACAGAAGGCCTTTGATATTCTGTGCAAGAGAATAGCAAATAGTAATGATAATACAGTTGTTGCATTTGGTGATCTCATCAACATCACACGGACATGCTCCAAGCCACATAAAAGAATTTCGCTGAGAGCTTTCTAGACACTGCAAGGAGATGAACGTTGACGAGTTCTATGCTTCTTCAGCTTGTTCTTTGTGTGATAAACATCAAAAACTCTGGTCTGCAAATAAGTCTGTTTGACACATTGGCATTGAGATGTTAATGTTGCCCGTAACATGAGAAGCATTAATTTGCACACGAGCATTTATAGAGAGAGACCTGATCCATTTATAAGGGATTTTAATATGGTCTTTTTGCCAATTTCCTGCAACACAAGTAGGGGTATTCTTTTCTTTTGATTTGAAGGACTATCCAAACCTATCAAAAAGAAGTAGGTGTATTTTCCATCTGATGATTTTTCAATGATGCCAGCTGATGGAACATAGATCTTGATTCTCAAGCTCAGGTAAAAGCAACCTTAATATTGTCACACATGCCTTTGAAATGGAGTTCTTTTTTTTTAGGTAGCTATTTTTAAGTGAATTTATTGTTTTGTTGTATCTTAGGGGAATCTTTTTCAATACATGGTAAAACATCCTAGCAAGTCTTGTTCTAATCTTGCTGCAACCTTCATCACAATGTGTTAAAAGAAAAAGGGCTAACTGTGTATCTAGCAAAACATAAAGAATGGGTGGCATTCATTGAACAATCACCTTGCCTTTTTTATCTTTGGTGTTGAATAATTTCAGACCTGGGGTTTTGGATCTGATTGTGGCTGAGGGAACCCTTTGGAACATGATTCTCCATTTGATGGTTACAATGGCGTAATCTCATACTTCATAACCAAATTGTACAATGTTTTTCCATGATCAGATTAGGAACATCTGCATGGATTGTGTAGGTAAAGCAATGCATGTGGATCTTTCCATGGTTTTGAAATTTGTCATGTTTGAAGAAATGCCTAATTCACTATCTCAGGGTCCTTCCACATTTTATTACAGCATATTTCAATAGTGCAGGTAGATGTGTTTACACTAAAGACTAGTGCCATAAATTATGATGATGGTAGTAATTGTATTTACAGAATATAAAAAGTGGTTGCAATTACTTTTGCAACCATACCTTTTCCTTTTTTGGATTACAGCACTTGTCTTTAGTTTACACATTTATTTCTTTTTAAAAAGGAAATTCAATGGCAAGGTTGTGGTTTTTGATAGATATTTGCATTTTTGGTGGCCAGTATCTGGTTCTAATTTTGAAAATTTCTTCTTTTCTCAAGCATCAATGTGGCTAGTACCAATACAAGAAGAACCTAGCTATCTATTGAGGGTAGTATTTTTTAATATACTTGTAGTGCCCCTTTCCATTGGGGGAAACATCAAAATAAGGCCAGGAGTTTGATATTGTTTGATTCAACAAAACTCACAATCAGTATACTGTAGTTTGTGTCAGTTGGTTTTTTATTTGATAATTTAGGTATAATTTTTATTATATTTAAATTATTCAGATATATGTATTAAATTTTAAGATTTTTAATACTAATAAATTATTTATATATTATATATATTATATGATATATTGATAAGTACTTCACTTCAATTTGTCAATACTCTAAAAAAAATGAAATCATTGATTTGAAAAGGCAAGAAACAAATAATACTGCAATTATGTTTATTTTTTTTTCAAAAATCATTATTTTAGTGTGCATATTTGACATCAAATGAAAAAAAATTCCAAATAATCTAAATATTTACATCCATTAGATGAGAAACTACAAGTATGATAATAATGTTAATGTTAATATCAATACTAAATTTTAAATTAATAATTGAATGATTAATGATAATTACCATTATTATTACTAATAATTGTTACTTTATTGGAATTCACAGGTTGGGGAAGGTTTGTAAAATTTAATAATCTGCTAGTATAAATTGCATTTGGATGAATTGCTGCAGTAATCGTTGAAGGATCAAATTTTATTTCATCCATTTTATCAAACTCTTTTCTAATTGATTTTAAATCATCCTGCTTTTCTTTTGAATAATATATATAAATTTCATAATTATTTATTATAACATCATTAAGTGAATTATGCCAAAAATCAATAATTTCATAAATTTCTTTGGCAGTTGGACGTTTATCTGGATTAGCATCCATGCATTTGAATGCTAATTCAATATAGAATTTTGGTGTGTTGTTTGAAAATCCAGGTCTTACACCTTTACATATTTTCACTGCAAGATCTATATCATGTGCCAAATTATTAAATGGTTGTTGGCCAGTTGATACTACAGACATCAGAATTCCAAAACTGTATATATCTGATGCCATTGTATAAGGTTTCTCTTTTAAAACTTCTGGTGCAATGTATGGTAATACTCCATATATATCATTTTTGTTTGATGATGATGTTTGACTAGTTAGGCATGATAATCCTAAGTCTGCAATATATGAGTCCAATCTGTTTTGTTGAAGAATATTACCCACTATGAAAATCATGATGAATAATTTCTTTTTTATGAATATCTTTTAACCCTTTAATAATTTGTCTAAGAATATAAATTTTATGTAACCATTTTAAATTTTTAAAATCTTTAGTTAAATAATTATGAAGACTTCCATCTTCCATATAATCCATTACAAAAATATATTCTTTTGTAATTGGATTTTGTGTTAATCCATAAATATGAATTATATCATCTTTATCATGAAACTTCATATAATTTTTGAACTAAAGTAACAAATAAAATATTTAATTATAACAATAATAATCAATAATATTTAAAATAAATAGAAAAATAAAATAATTACCTCATTAAGAAATTCATCAGAAATATTCTGTGAATTATGTGGTTTTTTTAATGCCACAGTCCTATCATGACTAATTCTTTTATTTCCATCAGCACGTTTATCACCATTTAACCAAGTAGCTTTTGATATAGTTGCAAAACCACCTTCACCAATCTTTTCAATATTTGTTAAATCACTATAAGGAATCCATTGAAGATAATAATAATTGCTATACAATCTTGCTTTAAGTTGTGTACTTTTAATCAACTCATCTAATTTTTCATTGCCACTAGTCCATCCTTCAGTTAACAGTTTTGGATCACATGATTGACACCATGAATAATAAGTATTATATCTATTGCATGTTGGACATTCCCCACACCCTTTATATCTTTTCTTTGAATATTTGTCATTTTTGTCAGTAGAAGTATCGTCATGATGTTTATTTTCATCCATAGTGTTTCCATCATGGTTTTTTATATAATTTGTATGATTTGTCAAAAAATATTTTTTCTAAAAGCCACAAATATGTATCACACACAAAGTATTAATATTCAAAAAAGCCCTGAATTAGCATTACTCGAATAAATCCGGCATGACATTCTAAAAAGACCATAAAACCGTAATTCCGTAATTATTTACAGTCTATAAACATTGCAAGCATGTGATCTAAGTTATTGGAGTCATCAAACATGACAAAACTAAATTAGAATCACTACATGTAACTATACTGCTTGATTAGGGTTCCATTCAAATAAGGTTTATTCGAATAAAATGAATAATAATTTGATTAAACGAATAATTCGAATAAATGAATAAACGAATAAGACAAATAAACAAATAAAACAAATAATTCAAACAATAATTTAAACAAAACAATTAAACGAACAATTCGAATAATGATAATAATAAAATATAAAACGAATAAACGAAATAATTCGAATAGAATAATTAGAGTAAAACGAATAATTCGAATATTTTAAACAAAACGAATTTCAAATAAAACAAATAACGAAATAATTCAAATAGTTCGAATAAAACAAATAAATGAATAATTCGAGTATTTCAAAAAACGAATAAACGAACAGTTTGAATAAAACGAATAAACGAAATAAAATGAATAGTTTGAATAATTCAAACAAATAAACGAAATAATTTGAATAATAATAATTCAAAATGAATAATTCGAATAAACGAATAATAACAATTCGAAATAAAACGAATAATTCAAAACAAAATGAATAATTCGATATAAAACGAATGATATGATGATAACAATTCGAATAAACGAATTAGAATGATTTGAACAAAAATTTGTATTACGAATAGAAACTCTACTTTATTGCAGGTTACTAAATAATGTTCAAACTAAACTAAAATCACCATATACCACTACACTGCTTGAGGCATCCCTACAAGCAATATAATAAAACTAATAGTTAAATGTTGGCCAAACCATTAATCATCAGAAAGGGTTATGAATCAATCAATCATGCCAGATTTATTAATTAATGAAAGTGTTATTATTGAAAGATCAATTATTTTTAAAAAATTTTTTCACTAAAGGAGATTTCAAGCATATTTATACTTCCAAATAACATGACTTTTTACATGATTTTGTCCAATAAATAAAATAAAATAAAATAGAATGATAAATGATGACTGATTGAACAATTACTAAAGTTAAATGTCAATAATGCATTATTGATGATGTCATGATTAAATGATACCTGATGAAATGTTTTTTGTCATAATTAATTAAAAATAAAAATTATATTCATTGAAATGTCAGATAGTAGTCAGCTTCAATTTGTAACAAGTTGTTGATGGTAATTTGTCTTCCTTGAGAATATTATTAAACAGAAAAATATGGCAATGTGACTCTAGACACATTTGTATTGCACCAATTCTATTCAATTCATTAATGGCATAGAAGACTTTGATGAACCTTTTTTTGAAGTCAACACAGCTTTAATAGGTCAGGTATCTGGATTATTGTATAAATTGATTTTATCCCAGCACAATGAGCTTATTTGGATGGAGTGCATGAGTGAAGAGGAAGATCATCAGGAAGTTGAGATTCATTTTCAAACATGTTGTTAACATTTTCAGCATGCACTTCATTTACAATTTTGATTGTTTCTAGCAAATTTATCTATCCAACAACAACCAAATAACCTTTGACAAGTATTGAAAAAAATCCCAAAGGGAAAAAAAGATATAATACCTTAAACACTCATAAGAGAGATATAAAATCAAAAAAAAAGAATTTGCTGTCCTGCCCAATCAATTGGAACAAATGTATTACACATTCTTTCCATTAAAAAGATGTCATTTGTTGGATTTGACATTCCCCATAGCTCTATTTGTTTTTCTACAGTGTACGAAATAATTAAATATCAAAACTAGAGAAATCAGATTATCTATACAAGTATTGTTGTAGAAATTATTTACCATATCCATTAGAGCTTGCTTACATATGAACTGATTTGTACTGTTAACGATTTGAACCAATTATATATTTATCTTGAAAAGTATTATGCGAAAGTTTAAACATTCTCTCATTTTGATCATTGGAACAAACTTTACACCTGCAAACTCATCATGTTCACTTATTAAATTATAATGATCTTTAGCTCTCCACATTCTAGTTGATTGTGAGTTTTCTTTACACCTTTTGTTTGTGGTTGGTTAGAACTAATTAAAACAGGCAAAGATTGTGATACTGCCATTATAGTTCCAGATGTGGTATATAGTTGAATCTGAATCCAATTGTATAAAGGGTCTGGGAAGTGAAAAGACAGAATAGGAATTGTCATTGTAAAAATCATTATTGTTTAAATCATTCATGAAAAAAATTTTCTATCCCAAAATTACTGATAATATTATTTCTCCCCCTCTTTAAGAAAGGATGACAATATTATTTATCGATTATGTAATGTAAATTACCAGCAACTCTTTTACACTAAGATAACATCTACAAACACACTTATGGTTTATAGATTACATCTTTTCTTCATCACAAAATAGTATAAAACAATATAATGATATAAAGATGAATAATAATAAATGTATCAATAATTATAAAAAACTAAAAGTTTTTAACAGTTTTTTTTCTGGATTGGTGCTTGTATCATTTACTTACCCATCAACTACAATTTCTTCATATCAATCAAGTATTTTATAACATATTGGGCATGTCCATAATATAAACATTATTATCGTGTTAATAAATTCTGTTATCAGGCCACGAATATTTATCTGGTAACAATGTGAACCGGAAGATCCAATAAGTTACAAAGATAGTCAGGCAAATCTTTTGTAGTATTGTTGATTCCATCATTTGTGTCAAGACATGCTTTTTGTAAGGGAAATTTAAAAACTAACCCAGCACGACACACAAACACCACTAATACTAATCCCAAATTGTAAAAAATCCTTGTGCGGGAAATCCTACCTAAAAATGCTATATATATACATGAAACATTTTTAATTTCTTTAATTTCGTGTGTGTAACTAAATCAATCAACCTTTTAAACTTGAACCTTTTTTTTTAAAAAAAAACAAGAATGACTTATTATACAGAGGCTTTTGCAATATTGATTGGGACGTGTGCTGTTTTAACTTTTTGGTTTAAAGATATAAAGTCAAAAAGTTCAACTTCACCTGGGAGACTTACTCAAGAATACAAATGTTTTAGCATAAATTACTTGACAGTATATTATCTTGTCATGGGTAAATACATTTTTATTTATTATTGTTATAACTAAAAAAGGTGACATTTGTTTATATCTTTCTCTTTATGTAGCTGGTGATTGGCTCCAGGGTCCTTATATTTATGCAGTATATAAAAGCCACGGATTTGACTTAAATCAAATGGCAATTTTATTTATTACTGGATTTATATCAAGTGGAGTATTTGGAATTGTAGTTGGACCTACAGCTGATAGATAGTGAGTAGTATATTTATTTATCTCTGACAGTTGATTAAAATTTTGGAAGGAAGTTATTAATAAAATTAAATTTTCAGTGGAAGAAAGAAATCATGTTTAGTATTTACACTTCTCTATTCATTATTTTGTCTTATTGTGAGATCACCAAATTTTAACATTTTGTTGATTGGAAGGTTTGTTATTATTATGATATATGTATATATATATATATATGTTTACACATTTTGATCTGATATTTCCTAATTGAATTATTTCTTTTTTTTTTTTTATTCAATTCCAAAGAATTATATCTGGAATAAGCACATCTCTTTTATTTTCAGTTTTTGAAGCATGGATGGTTAGTGAACATTTTTCAAGAGGTATGAAAATTTTATTTTCATGCTATTGATTGATTGATTGATTTACTGATTGCTCAATGGGGTGAAAACAATGATTTTATTATACATAGGATTTCCACCACCACTTTTGTCAGACACATTTTCCAATGCAACATTTGGTAATGGGCTTGTAGCTATATTTAGTGGACTATTGGCAAATTTGTTGGTGAAAAATTATGGAGTCACCACACCTTTCATGGCATCAATTGTTTTCTTTGCTGTTGCTGCTGTTGTCATTTCATCAACATGGAAAGAGAATTATGGAAGTTTTAATAATAATAATAATAATACTGGTGGTGATAGTGATAATAGTGAGGTATTAATTAATGAATGTGATTATTTTCTAAAATAAAATTGAACTAGAATCATTAAAGTTTTTCTATGTCATGTTTAAAGAATAATCAAAACAAAAATACATCATCATTGCTAGAGGCTATTACTTTAATTAAAAATGGTAATCATTTTTACTCATCAATTAAATAATTACAATTGTTTTATTGATTTTAAAAAGTATTAATGATTTTAAAACTCAATAATGAATAGATTCTCGTGTTTTGGCAGTTGGAGCAGTTCAATCTCTCTACGAGGCTTCAATGTATACATTTGTATTTTTCTGGGGACCATTCTTGGAGCATTATCATAAGCCGGCGAATGAAGACTTACCATTTGGGATGATTTTTTCCAGGTAAATAAAGCAAGATCAAATCTAAAATCTTTAATAAGAAAATTTAACAAAAAATTTCCACCTCTTTTAAATAATTGTAGTTTTATGGTAGCTATAATGATTGGATCATTGGTTTATGGACAATTGAGTGGTCCATATAATATATCTTTATCAACTATAGCAAAAGCTACTTTTCTGATTGCATCCATATCATTATTCTTGCCTTTAATTATTAAGGTAAAAAGAGGTTTTTTTTTTGCTTTTGATTATTAAAATTATTAAAATTATTAAAATAGTTGTTTATTAGACTGATTATAAGCTTTTTTTATTTTTAGAGTGAAATTAGTTTATTTGCATTCTTTACATTGTTTGAATTAACATGTGGAATTTATTTTCCAGTGATTGGTACTCTACGAGCTAAAGTGATTCCAGAAAATATAAGAGCTACAGTTAGCAATTTATTTAGAGTTCCATTGAACATTGGTGTTGTATTTCTAATAGTAAGTCGACTTTGTTTTTTGAGAGGTGAAAATTATTCATTGATTTCTAATGAACATTCCTTTATAAACTTAAAAAGGTGACCGATATTTCGATTTCAACAAAATGTTTAATGTGTAGTGCTTTACTATTTGTAGCTTTTCTTTGGTCATTTAGATTGCCTGGGGTATGACATGATATGATTTAAATCTATAAATATGTTAGCGTCAATTTATGTTAATTAAGCATACCTATTCTTATAATTCTTTAGGCATCCACTACTACAGTGCAAGGCACTTAGTCCCCTAAACCTTTTATTGGTCTTGCAGATCCTTTAACTCCTCCAAAAATGGAAATGCATGGCCAAAAAAAAACAAGATGTAATTTTGAAGCTAATACCTTTCTCTGCAAAGTTACATCTTCATTTTGTTGATATTTCACGTTGTTTTGGAGAAATTAAGCCTCAAAGTTGCACAAGTTTAACAAATTTACTATGTTAACCCCCAAAGCGAATTTTTTATATTAAAAATGAAACGAATTGGAAGAATTGAAATTTTTGAACTTTGTATGGTCAATCTTTTATCACGTGAGAACTATATTATGAACAAATTATCAATTATCATCTCTTATCTTTCCTTTTTCTAATATTAATATTAATTGTTACATACTTGTATTTGTCTATATGTATATTAATATTAATAATATATTATCTGGATAAAATTCCGCACTTTGACAATCTTCACGAACACGTGACAATAAAACTTTTGATTTCTCAAAAACTGACGCTGTGGCACAGAAAGTTTTAGTCTTACATTATACTTTAAATCAAGGTGCTGAAATAAAGAAAGCACAAATTGATTAAATTACCATCGGCAAACGTAGAATATCAAATATATAACAGACAAGTATAGACAGATGGATGGATAGATAACAAATAGATTGGCAGATAGATAATGTAAATACAATACTTATTTATTTATTTAATTTTTATATTAATTTTAATGTTGCCAGTTAAAAGATGATTGCAAAGAGAAATATATATACCGTATATGACGGACCACAATACCCCATAATAAAGTACCTTCCCGCTATTTACACTCAAATACCCGGAGGATTATATTACTCATATTACAGTACTTCCCTCATATCAATAATATTTATTTTTTTTCAAAAAAAATTGTTTACGATTATAATATCATGAGCTTCCCTCGTGAACTCCATTATCTTCATTTTACTTTTTAAAGAGCCTCATGTCTTAATACTTTCGTGTATCCGCGGCCCATTTTCAAAAAAAGTTTATAATTAATTATGTTTGAATTTATTAAAAAAATAAAAAATACAACACGAAATTCGAATGCCAATCATAAATACATAATACCCGGGATACTGTAGTCCGTCATATACGGTATATCTGAACGAATGCTGTTAAAGAAAAATTGAATATTTTATAATAATAGTATTTATTACAATTAATAAAAAAACCAACATTCATGTGCCACCACAATAGTGCCACAGTTTTCTCACAAACTGATTTTAATATTAATTGTATTAGGGTGTTAGTATTCAAAACACGTCCAACTAATATTTTATGGTCAGTCCTAGGTTTGCAAAATTAAAAAATCAAACAACAACATTTGACTCGATCTTTTTTATCCCATCTGAGGAATCATCATCCATCATTGCCTATGGTAGGATTCGATCAATGCAAAATTTCTCACAATGTGATTTATCTTTGTTAGGAAATGAGAAAAATACTTTTTTTTTATTTTTTATTTCTACACATGTAACTTCAAAGCCTCAAAATATAAAATGCAAATTTTATTTGCTTAATAACATTTATCAAAAACACCATTTTCATATTGTCGGATTTCCAGAAGAACTTTCTTTCGTCCTCGTTATAAAAGGAGTACAGCCAAACCTCGTTTCAACGAATCTATGAGACGCATAAAAAAATGCATCTAAAATCGTTATACCAAAATTATTAATCGCGTTTCTATGTTTTATATGTGAAGCAAAAATTAAAACGAGGGTTTTACTATAACGTTAATATAAATTCATTGTACTAAATTTAAATAACAAACGATAATAATCGCATTGTTGAAAATGATGCCCTTCAATAACTCCTTCAACAGGCACAATGCAGTGTGTTCAAAAAAGAACAACAAGTGAAGTGTGGAACCATTTCACAGCAATTATTATGCTAGGAAATATTTTTTTTTTTGACTTTCGAAACTATTCATTTCCAAAAGCAACTCTTTTAAAATTAATCTATTTCATATAATATATATATATATATATATATACATACTGTATATATATTTGAATTAGATTCAAATCGAATCATTTATAGATTCGAATTAAATCAAAGTACGATTCGTATGAAACGAATCTAAAATTGGGTGATTCTATTCGGTTCTAATTTCATCGATTCGTTCAAGTTTTTATCGATATTGAAAGGTCTTCTATATACCTAAAACTATATGGTTATTCAAAAATGGCGTTGCTCTTCACTTCAAAGCTGAGATCATTTCATTCTTCAATATTGCTTTAGATACTCCAAGATTTCATATTGTCACTGCCTTTACGGGGAGGAGGTGTTGGTTAATAATTTTTGGAGAAAGTTGTCAAGGGTTGCATTCAACATGGCCAATTTTAGCCGTAGTATATTAATTTAATATTAATATTAAACTCAATAGAAAGTGCCATATGATTTGGTGGAAGAATATTTAAATTTGATTGGTTAAATTTTAAATTTTCAAATAAAAAGATCAAAAAATTTAAATTTGCAACAGATTCATTTTAGATATATATATATTTATTATACATGTATAAATAAATATCTGTATAAATTATTTAAATAAAAATGACGGTTCCAAGTTTATCTTTTAGAGCTTCATGCATTTTAGCAATATTAATTCGAGTAGTGATGTTAATATATGGAGAGTGGCAAGATGCGAATATGCAAGTGAAGTATACAGATATTGATTATAAAGTTTACTCTGATGCAGCACGTTTTGTTGCAATGGGAGAAAGTCCATACAAACGGGCCACATATAGATACACACCATTGTTAGCGTTTCTATTGCTGCCTAATGTATATCTACACAAATCATTTGGAAAGCTATTATTTGTTAGTTCAGATATATTGGTTGGAGTATTGATTTATCGAATTGTTTGTTTGCGTGGATTGGACAAACAAAAAGCAACAATTTATTCATCACTTTGGCTTCTGAATCCGGTGGTAGCCAACATTTCAACACGTGGTAGTGCAGAGTCGTTGATTAGTGCCATGGTGTTGTTATCATTGTATTTGATGGTAGTGAAAAGATTTAAGATGGCAAGTGCATTGTATGGATTATCAGTTCATTTCAAGATATATCCAATCATTTATTCGATTCCATTGTTGGTGTTGTTAGATGATGAGGATTATTGGGGGATTAGGAGGAAGGGAAAGGAGAAAGAGTATGATAGGAATTCATTGAAATATTGGACTGGAATGATTAGTAAATTTGTGACAACGACCAGAATTAATTTTGCATTGATTAGTGGTGGTGTATTTTTTATTCTGAACGGTCTGATGTATTATTTGTAAGTACACACACACACACACACACAAATAACATTTTATGATCCTTTTTTCAATTAATTAAATCAATCAATCAATTTGTATGTGTATATGTATATATATATATATATATATATAGATATTCACAAGAATTTTTGGATGAGACGTACCTTTATCATATAATACGTAAAGATCATAGGCACAATTTCTCCATATGGTTTTATTATATTTATCTTACAATAGAGATTCCCAGAGGATCATTTCTATGGTTTCTAACGTTTCTTCCGCAACTTTCTCTTGTGACATTGTTGGGATTTGTATTTGGTAAAGATATATTTTTTGCGGGCTTTATTCAAACCTTTGTGTTTGTTATTTATAACAAAGTTTGTACATCACAAGTAAGTAGTAATATTTATTTTCTTATCTGTATTCTTTGATATAATTTATGTGATTGAGAATTCTTACTAACTACATACATGTATGTGTATATAGTATTTTATGTGGTATATTTGTCTTTTCCCATTGATTGTCCACTCTACTGCCATCAAATTCAAGTATAAAGGATTTTTAATGTTGTTTGCATGGGTCATTGGTCAGGTAAATATTCTCTAATAATAAGATGATACTTACAATTTATCTTAACATTAAAAAGAAAATTTTTTTTAAAAAATTAAATCACAGGCAATTTGGTTGTATTATGCATATAATTTGGAATTTCTTGGAGAAAATACATTTTCTAAGATATGGATGTCGAGCATTCTATTTTTCTTGATTAACATATGGATATTAACAGAATTTATAAAGAATTATGAGTTTACACAAGTTTTTGAACTGGGAAAAATAAAAAATGTCTGGCAATATACCAATGTTAATAATGCTAATGCTAATAATATAAATGATGATGGTGATAATGATGATGATAAATTTAGGAAATAACTATTAAGAATAGAAAAAATAATAATTTATTGTGAGTGAAAAGTATGAAATGGTTTGACTTTCTAATAATTTCCTTTTTTTTTTTTTCTAAAGATTAAAAGAAACAATTAAAGAAACAATTAACAAATCAGAATAATATTTTAGGTTGCATATGGTTTCTTGTGATAAATTACCATTTAATCAATCAATCAGTTATTTATTCACTTCTCCATTTGTTGTTACTTTAGATGAATCATTATTACTTTTCAAAAAAAAGGAAGCGAGGAAATGTGAGAGTGTGAGAGTTGTTTTAATTTGGCAGTAATAAGAAATTGGTTTCTCAGTTGATTAATTAATTATTAAGTTGATTAGTTTGTTAGTAAATTAGAAAAAAAAAATAATAATTCAATTTATTAATTAATTTGTGTATATTATTACAAACATTTTTGAAAAAACCAATTAATTAATTTAATGGTAAAATTTATAATAATTGAATTAAAATTCTGTATTCATGAAAATGGATCGGTATGATTATAAGAATCCTTGGCAAATTTGCCAAGTCTACTTGAATTGCCTACCACATGACATGGTGGCCTGCATTTTTAACAAAAGTTCATTGCTGAATTTGAAGGAAAACTCTGGAAATCTTGTCAAACATCAACATTATTTCCAAGATCATCCCTAAAGTCGGTCGATTTAAATTAATTGTACAAGTAAATGGGAAATTCATACTATCTTTTTCAATATTCTTTATCAAAAATATTGATACATTTACAATGTCGTGGTCATGAGGGTATGTTCTTGGGATGCTTTTATTTATAAAGGAAATTTAATTATACTCGCAAACTTTTATTAAAGGGACTAGCGCAAAGTATAAATCTGTTTATGCACCAATGGTATCTTTTCTTCTCTCAGGAATTTTTAATTTTTAATTAAAATCTTCCAGCAAATAAGCATTCTCTAGTTTCTCCTCAAGAAAATAATCCATATTTTGCGATTAAATCATCACCATCTAATCTCGACTGCTTTATACAGATGACACTCATTCTATAAATAGTTACACTGGGATGCTTAACGGTCGACATCCAACGAATTCTTTATTATATTATTACATCATCATCATCAAGATATAAAACAAATCTATTCGAAGGAAAGTAACATGTGAAACAAGGTTTGTTATCACCACGGGAGGACACAAGGTCAAGATAAATATTTGCCTTCACCATCCCAAACTTTCTTTATCCTTTCTTGTTTACTGGGTGGCTCAATCTTCTGAAATTTTAAAGAAAAGATTACAAAAAGGATAAGTGCCTTTCCTTCCCCACTTTCACCTCTTTTTTTTTTAGTAATAACCCCAAACGTAGACTAGCGATGCAAATCCGATCATACTCGGATTGGCAGGTGGCTTTTTTAAAAAAGCACGGGACATCCGAATGATCACTTAACAATAGTCAAAATTTTCTTAAACTATCTGTTTTTGGCAACTTAGAAATAAATTTTATTTCTCGAAGCATCGCAATTTTGTGGTTTGCTCCCATACCAAAATTAAACTTGGTTTTGTAGACAACCGATTGGATTTTTAAAAATCGTTTCTCTTCGTCCTTTGCTTTTAAACTTTCGTTTCATCACTAAATAGTCCCTTTTTGATTTTCTTTTAAATTCCTTTGCTCATATTTTTTATTAATGCATCAAACCAAAATATACTTTTAATAATAATAATAATAAATTTATACGATATTGTCCGATGAAATCCGACGGACGGATTTTCTGTAGTAGTAGTAGTAGTAGCGGATGAAACGGTCATCCGCGGATCACATGGCTTTAACTTATTATCAAAAAATTGAAACTGATATTGATAATAATAAGCATCCTTCCTTCTGCATCAAAAAGCTACGTCTCCGATCTAAATAACGTAGCTTTAAAATTCCAAGAAAAACACACAAAAAAACTACTGGGACCAAACTTTTGATATTGGTTCGTTAATAATACTCGTTGAACCCATGTTGAAAAATAAAACGGTCGATTCAATTTTCATATACCACAATTAATTGAAACTAGTCGCAATTAATTGGGGCGCCATTTTAATCTTTATAGTCAATCATCTTCATCTACTCGTCACAAATGACAGAAATCTATTTGGAAATCAAAATGATAAAGACCATTTAAATTTTCCGTATGTGTTTATACGTTCCAATAGGACCGGGAAAACTCTATAGTATGTGACCGCCAAATTAAATGGCAAATCATATTAATGCGAATCTTAGTTTTTTATAATTATGCGAATCAATTTTCCGAACACATTTAAAAAATTATTAATAATGCGAATCGAAATCAGCCAAGGACATATGAAATTTATCTTTATTAATTAAAAATTCCAAACTCCAAGTAGCTTCAGCTTCTAATGCTCTTTTAAACTCTTGTAGTTCAGATTTAGAAAGTTTTCTTCGAGAAAAAGATTTGTTTGCAGGAAATTTTTGAGGAAAAAGTTGCTTTGCAATTATTTCAGGTTTTTTACCACCTCCAAAATTAGCTGGACTATTTATAACATAATCAATATACTCCAAGTCACAAAGACCCTTGCATATATGTAGATTTTGATCTATATTATTATCATCAATGATATGTTCTTCATGGTTACTTTTTGTAAAGAATGCTTTGACACTAGGTTGATTATTTATTAAAAAATTACAATTATTACTCTCGGAATGTCTTTTAAAGTTTGCAACTTGATAATTGATTCCAAGTGAAATAATTTGACCACATTTGCAAATAACTTTTTTAGCATTGACAAATTCTTGAAAGTTAGGATATGTAGTAAAATGTCATTGGCGTGAATCATAAAGAATTCTTTTACTATTTTTAGTTTGAATTTTCTTTTTTTTTTTTTTGGTATGACCAAGATAAATTTTTTTTATTAATAATGCGAATTATAGTGTAACCGATGACATTTTTCATTTCTCTATGTTTGCGAATTCAGAGTAACTGAGGACATTTTTTCCTTCAAATTATATAAAGGCGGTGACCTTTTCCATTTCCATTAATCAAATCTATAGTGAGGCAGTCACTTTTTTTTTTTTAAAGTACTTTCGAATCATAGTGTTGGTGGTCACATTCAATAGAGTCTTCCCAGTCCTATTTTGCAGTTATGCCCTTTTCTATTGTCCATGCCCCAATTATTCATATTTATATTTCAAGAACTTATTCAGCTGATAAATATTTACTTTAAATTATTAAGGGTAGGCTCCATGTGTAACACATATAAAGTAAATTATGCGTGATTAGATCTTTACTATCCCTATTTTTGTCAACTAAACAATTTCCATTTATAGAAACAAGGTTTAAAGAATGTGGGATAAAAAAATCTGATTGATTTTATTTCCCAAATTAAGAATATTTTGTTTGCAAATACTTGAAAAATTTTTTTGCAAATTTTGGTGCAATAAAATTCTGTAGATAAATAGTAGTGGCAGAATGAGCAGAATGCAAAAAAGATGAGCAACCAAAAAATTTTTTTTTACTTAATATAAACCTTTTTTAAGAGAGTATAAAAAGTACAAAAAATGTTTTCATAATATAAATACCATATTTAATAAAACCAAGAAAATTTTTTTCGCAAATTTTGTTTGATTGGTTAAAGGCTTGTACTAGTCACAAGTTTTTTGAATTCTTAAAAAATTTAAAATCCCATGATCGGCACTAATTAACATATGTGTAACTTTATTGCATGGAGCCTACCCTTAATTATTATTTGTAATGCTCAGTTGACCCAAATATTTATTTTACATTAATAAGCATAGTTTATTGGACAAAATAGAGTAAAAGTCATGTTATTTGTAATACCCCAAGAGGTATAAAAAGACTTGGTTTTAGACAGCATAGTGGAAATTTGAAATGTTACACTAATTTTTTATATTGTGCAACGTAGCTTTACAATACACGGTAAACATTCTGGCAATAAAAAGTACCGTATTCTCCCGAATATAAGCAACACCCGAATATAAGCAACAGTAAGAATTTGCAACAAAAAAACAGAAAAAATAGAAAAATAAATATAAGCAACACCTATATTTTTGAAAATTTTTTATTTGATTTCTTATTTTTATATAATAAATAAAAAAATAAGAAAATTTTTTTATTTTGATTATTCTTTTTCAGAATCACCAGACTCTTCCCCTTCTAATTCATCAGCTGAATCATCGTTTCTATCTAGTATTTCACATTCATCTTCCTCATCTTCATTTTCATCCCCATAAGCTTGTCCAAACAAATGATCTTCCGATCCATCAATTGCATTACTAATGCCACACTTTTTAAATGATTTCACAATCATTTCATTCGGAATTTCATCCCAAACCTCCAAAATCCATTTACAAATGACATTATGTTCAGGCTTTCTTAAATTTCCATTTTTGGTATAGGTGAAATTACCTGAACTCATCCAAGTATTCCACTTTTCACGAAGTCTATCTTTAAATGGTTTGTTAATACAAACATCAAGTGGTTGAACAACAGAGGTAAGACCACCTGGAATGATTGCTAAATCAGTGTTTTCATTTTGTGCAATTTTTTTGATAGAATCTGTCTTGTGGCCTTCAAAGCTATCCATAACAAGTAAAGCTTTT